GCTCCCGCGCCTCGCTCAGCCAGTGAGCGGGAACCGGTCTGTATGTGGGATCCAAACCCTCAGGCGGGAGCGCCGCCGCGCTTCCCAAGCGGCGCACTATCCAGTGCGCCACCGGGCCGGCCCGGGTAAATTTATTTCTAAAGTATTTTATTCTTTTTGATGCTATTGTAAGTAGAATTGGGTTTTTTTATTTAATTCTTATATTATTCATTAAAAATGTATAGAAATACAATTTTTTTAATATATTGGTTTTGTATCCTGCAACCTTGCTAAACTGATTTATTACCCACATAATTTTTTAGTGGATTCCTTAGGAATTTCTATAGACAAGATTATGTCATCTGTGAATGGAGATGGTTTTACTTTTTTTTCCAACATGGATGCTTTTTATTTCTTTCTAGCCCTGTCTAGAACCTTCAGTACAACATTGAATAGAAGTCACAAGAGTGGATATCCTTCTCTTGTTTCTGATCTTAAGGGAAAAGCATCCAGTGTTTCATCAATTATGATGTTAGCTGTGGATTTTTTTCATTTATGACCTTTATCGTGTTGAGGGATTTCCCTTCTATTCCCAGTATGTTGAGTGTGTTTATCATGAAAGGGTACTGGATTCTCTTAACTATTTTCTCATATCTGTTTTTAATTTTGATATCTTACACAAAGGGGAATTCAGTTTCTTCTCATTTTATCTTTTACTCTTTGTTGTAGATACTCCATATATCTTTAAAAATTTATTTTGATTCCAAAGCAAATGCTTTCTGAATTTTTCTTTTATTTCTTCCAGTAACTATTTAACCCATCAAAAGGATGCTTTTCTTTAAATCTTAAACATTATGGTTCCCTTTTTAAAAACATTTATATTGACCGTTTTTTTCTATCTTTATATTTGAGCAAGAAAAGGTCAGTTTTTCGGTATAGGAGGTCATAAATGATCTGCCATCCACCTCTCTTGCTGTTAGAATTCTCCCCTTGGTGTTGATCAAGAATGGTAATTGTAGCATAAAGGCCTTTTTGGAAGTTCTGTGTCCAGCTTACACCTATTTAATGAAGTACGCGCAGGGCTGTGGAGTGGTCTCCTGCTTTCAATATTATGGGACAGTGCGGAAGAGGACTGACCTGTGAAAGTGCTGGGAAACGTGTGCCCTGAGCCAGTGTCCACTAGAGTGCCCCTCTGGCAGCTCCTGCTGCTGCTGCCACCATGCCCCAGGGTGCCATCCCCAGGGACCTTTGTGTGCCATTCCTGAGTCTAAATGGAGTCTTAGAACAGAGGCAGACTGAGAAGGACCGATTAAAGAGTGAAATGAAATTGCCTTGGTTTGCACCCCCCACCACCAAAAACCAAAACCAGAAAAGACAGAAAACCCAAGGCAAGGTGGGGAATGAGGGTGACAGTTCCTCTCATCAGCAAAGGCCCCAAGTCTCTGATAGATACCAGGCCAAAAGTATTTATCAGTGCTTCCTGTGCGCCGAGCGTTTTTCTAAGTGCTTCATGTGTATAATAAGTCATAGAGTCCCCATAACCACTCTGGTATTACATTTTATAGATCATAAAACTGAGGCACAAAAATGTTAAATAACTTTCCAAGGTCACAAAGCTTCGGAGAGGCGAAGTCAGCATGAAACCCAGAGCCCAACTCTGGATCCCTCAACCTCTCCAGCAACATTTCTTACTTTAGGCGTCCTTGTTCTGCATCTCCCTCCCAGGGCACATCGGAACTCAGTATCAATTCTCCTTAGGGTGTGGCAGGCTATGAATAACATTCCTGTTTTCGTTTGCAGTTGGGCTTTTCTATCACTTTGGGTGTTTTTGTGAGTATTTCAATGAGGAACATGAATCCAGCCCTAATTCTAGCAACTATCATCTTAACTCAGAAGTCCTTGTGGAATCTCTACATATAAACTTAATCTTCATGACCATGCTTATTTTACGTTGAGAAAATCAAAGCCCAGAACGATTAGGCAATGTCCCCCAAGACACAGAACTAGTGATGGCAAAGCAGAGCTGGGGACTTACCCTTCCCTGCTTTATTCCCCATTAAGCTTTGTGTGTAAAGTCTCTAAGAAGCCACTGACGTCAAGACGCATTTGTCTTCCTAACTTGTTCCAAAGGTACATACACCCTTAAAAGCCACAGGAAAAATTTTGTTTGATTTTATTTAGCATATTTGATTCCTTCTAGCACAGGAAAATGGAATGCACACCCTTAATTGAGATTTTCTCAAATTAGTCTGGGTGACAAATATCTTTTTAAGCTCTTTTATTTGACATTCTATTAATTTTTTTTAAACTCCCATTGTTTTATTCCTGATAGGCCTGTTATGTTTCAGATGTGAGACAAGTGTACACTCCAGGAGAAACTTCTTTAATAAGCTATATTTGCCTCAGACTATTAGAGTTATTTTAAAAAGCAAAAACTAAAGTGCACACTCCAGGACATTTATTCACCTAGTCATAAATTTATTGGACATATTTAATTGATAGAGACTTCTGGGTCAGCCCGTTACCAAAGCATGTGATACGTTGTTGGGTGTGTGGCATTGATTCTCTTGGCCTCTTATTCCTGCACAGAAAGCTTTGACATTGGGGGGGGGGGCGGGCAGCTTCCTGGCACATGGGTGATGGGACCTCACAGGGACCCCTGCTTGGGTTAGCAGCCAGGGCAGGCTGCATTTTATTACACACACCCAAAGTTTCAAAGTAGACATGTAGACTTGAGGAGGAGAGACAGTATTTGCATCCCTACTAACACCAATTATAGTAAACACCAATTATTTGGACTTCAGCCCTTTAATAAAAATCCCCTGGATTGGTTTTTAAAAGTCAGGCTTTCAGGACAGAGCCGAGCAGAATAGAAAAGAGTGGAATAATTGGAGCCTGCTGTCTTTTCACTGCACACATAAAATTATTTGAAGAGACAGACCAGAACTTTAAACAGGAGATACCAAGAAAAGTTGTAATTTGGATGTCGGCTGTCGTGACTTCAGGGTGTTTGCTGAAAGGACTTTCCCCCCCTCTCTCCCCAGACGTACTTCAATGACAATATCCTCACCCTGATACGGACCCTGGTGACTGGAGGAGCCACGCCGGAGCTCGAGGCTCTGATAGCTGAGGAGAATGCACTTCGAGGGGGCTATAGCACTCCCCAGACGCTGGCCAACAGGGACCGCTGCCGCGTGGCACAGCTAGCTCTGCTGGACGGGCCCTTCGCCGACCTAGGGGTGAGTCTGCAGCACCGAGGTCACCTGAGCCTGCTGTTTAGGGAGAGCTTGATCTGAATGAAATTGGTGTCAGACAGTGACACCAGTCTTTTCTTCCTCCTACTGTAAATAACCAAACGAGGTGATCATTTGTGGTTACTGTGTCCCTAGCACTGTGCTTTATGCTTAGTACTTCACTGTAATCCTCATGGCAACCCTCGGGTGCAGGTTCTCCCACCACCTGCTCTAAGGCAACCGAAGCCCGGAGACTGAGGACTGGCCCTGTCAGGAATCAGCACCAAGGCCCCCTGGCTTCTGAGTGGTGGGCTTCCTCACTGCTGGGTGTTCTCAGGTATCCTGTGCTTTGAGATGGAGGCAGCAGATGATACTGGCATGCAGCCAGGGTTGGGAAGCACTTCCACAGGTCTTAGCATGGCTCAGGGCTGCTCAACGCCGACCATGCACTAACAGCACATGGGACGCCCAGCCCCGGCCCCCAGGATTCTGAGTTTTCGTATCTAAGTATGATCCTAGCAATGGTTGTTTTCAAAGCGCTAAAGTAGTCATGTGCATCCAGAATCACTGCCCAAACAAACAGCATCTCCTAGGTATCCTTTAATGCCTCTAATTCAAAACCTAGGTCCTGTAATTTCAGACGCTGGGCCCAGTCACCCTCCTTCAGGCCCTCCCGGTGACAGAGGTGACCACACACCAGCTTGGTTCAGGCACTTTGGCAGTAGTATACCATCTTGACCTCATTCCCAGCCCAACCCCACGGATGTGTTTAAGGGATGGAGCCACAGGTCAAAGGAACCAATAGACCTGTTGTGCAAACGATAGTGTTGCCCGGAAAGTCCAACTAGCAGAAATGGAGACCAGGAAAGAGTCTTTCTCCATTTTTTGTGAAACACTGATGTGTACTTGCACCATATTTTAGTTGGGCTATGAGCTAGGACCTATGTTAGACGGGGCTTTTTCGAAAGGGAACTTCAGTAACTAGAGGCTCTTTTTATCTATCATCTGCTTATGGATACACTTTAATAGGATAAAGACTTTAAAGAATGGTAAGATTTGGCCCCGTTTCTGTTCTCTAATGTAGTGTTTATATGGAAATTCCAATGATAGGAAGGGCAAATACAGCCATTTTATTCCCAGTGAAGTCAGACTGCAGTGCCCTAACTGTAACCACGCCTACCTGAAGCCACCTGGCTGCAGGAAGCGGCATTTTTATGTGAATGCGCTTGCTCTCACTTTCTGCATCAGGCCTCAGACCCCGGGAAGGCTGTTGGGAACTGATTAGATCTGTGAATCCCCGTTATTCAGCCTGCAGACACCCAGCTCTGGGGAAACACATTCTCTTCCACTCTTGCCATCTCTGAGGTCTGTAAATTGTGCTTTTCACAAGTCCTTCCTGAAAGAGTCTGTCACCATAGGACCCAGTGGGGTCTTTTCCCCTTGCAGTGGTTCTCATTATCACTCAGGCAGTTTTGACAACATGGTCCAACCACAGTGGTTACAGCTGAGCTGGGGCTAAACATAATCACTGCTTTGCAGAACTGGTTTCTTCTCCTCAGCTGAACGTACTCGTACATCTGAGACCTTCAGCCTTTGCACCCTCACTCAAAGTTAGGGAGACACATAATCTCTTTAGAGCTCTCATTGCTATAGGTAGAAAGCTGGAGAGACACCAGAGGGAAACCCCATTACTACCTGATCCCTGAAATCACCCATGTCAGGTGTAGGCTGTTAACCACATTGACTTCTTCAGCCACAGTCGCTTGGCACAGACCCTTTAACTCAGGAGACATCAAAACAAGCTTTTATGAAAAGGCCCTTTTCCCCCTGGGCCTCAACTTTCAAGCAAATAAAAAGGATGTTTCTCTCTTTTCTTTTGTTGTCTCCCAGGATGGTGGTTGTTATGGTGATCTGTTCTGCAAAGCTCTGAAAACATATAATATGCTTTGTTTTGGAATTTACCGGCTGAGAGATGCTCACCTCAGCACCCCCAGTCAGTGCACGAAGAGGTGAGTATCTATTTCCACTCTGCTCTCCCACCCAGTTGCAGACACACAAATGCCCTCTCCTGTCCCTACTATAAAGGCAAAGGTCTGTACACATGCTCTCAACATGCAAATTACTCTGTCTGCATTAAATCCAACACTGAGTTTGGAGGTTATGGGATACATTTTTCTTAATTACTAATAGCAGATTTAAAGACATGGAAGAATTCAAGATTTGTAGAACAGTTCTATCACCCAGTTACAAAAGTCTGAATAGAAGCATCTCCCCCGAACTGCAGCTACTGGGATATAGCCTCTGTTGGTACCTAGTATAGAGAAATTTCACATTGCTCATGTTTAAGATAAATGGTTCCTTTGCCATACCTTAGAATCCTATATTTTTACCTCATATATTTTAAATTGACTCACTTTTGTACTTTTATATATTTTTAAGAAAATTTTATATTATCACCTGAAGCAGAAAAATAACAGTTTAAATGGGCTATGTTTTTTTAATACACATTAAAATAAATTTATAGCTGGCAAAAATTAAAAGTACATCCTAGAATTACCAAAGTTAGTGAGTTTGCATAATATTTGTATACCCTGAGAAACAGTGCTACAGAGGTGTTTCTCAGCCCTTCTTGCATATTAGAAACACCTGGGGAGCTTTTTAAAATACTCTGATTACTCTGATTTAATTGGTCTGGAAGGAAAAAATATGTATGTATATATAAGCTTTAAAATATATAAAAATGTTACACATGTAATGCCCAGGAATTACAGCATACATCCAGAGTTAAGCACTTGCTGTAGACTGGTGGGTTCTCAAAGTTTAGCCAGCTTGAGAAGCACTTGCAGAGCTTTTTAAAATAAAACACAGGTTGCTGACCCCACCCTTAGAGATTCCGAGTCAGCAGGCCTGAGGTGGAGTTGTTTAAAAATGTACATTTTTAAGAAGCTCCCAGGTGATGCTGAGAGTCAGGGAGTCTGTCTGACCTGAGGACCACACTTTGAGATCCCCTGCTGTAGATGGCACATAGTGATCATTTTAGTCATGTCCGGTTTATACGAGAGACAGCCAGATCTAATTGAGGAGAACAATAAAGCAGGGCTGACAGAGAGGCAGAGAAGTATTTTATGTCCTTGCATGTAGTAAAACTCCCACCGCAGTTGATCTTTAAAAGGCAAAGAGTTAGGATGATCTGAGGAGACGCTGGGTCATGGAAGACAAAGATCCTGTGATGTGTGTCTGAGGTTGTCAGAAAATTCTAGAAAGTTACAGTGCAGTCCACGAAACCTCCTGCAGTTGAGCGTCTCAGGATCAGAAGTGAACTTGACCTTGTATGGAAAGGTGTGTGCACACCATGGGAAGTGCAGCTTGGTTCTCCCGTTACCTGATCTCATTTGGTTCACGGCCGGCTTCCTATTGAGTGAAACAGGAAGATTTCATTTAACTTGGAAGGAGATTTTTAAAGCCTTGGACCAGCTAGAAGTGCATCTTCCAGATACGATAGCAAGTCCTTTTGGTTCAGGGAGAGTCGGATACTCTGCCAGGTTACCCTCGGGTGGTGACTTCTTTGCTTTCCGTTCTAGGTATGTCATCACCAACCCCCCGTACGAGTTTGAGCTCGTGCCCACGGACCTGATCTTTTGCTTAATGCAGTTTGACCACAACGCCGGCCAGTCCCGGGCCAGCCTGTCCCATTCCTCCCACTCATCCCAGTCCTCCAGCAAGAAGAGCTCCTCCGTCCACTCCATCCCGTCCACAGCAAACCGACAGAACCGGCCCAAGTCCAGGGAGTCCCGGGACAAACAGAAGTACGTGCAGGAAGAGCGGCTTTGATATGTGTATCCACCGCCACTGTGTGAAACTGTATCTGCCACTCATTTCCCAGTCGGTGTTCCCAACGAAGTAACTCTCCTGTTTTCCCCTGTAGTACCCCCCCCTTTTTTTTACACATATTTGCATATGTATGATAGTGTGCATGTGGTTGTCATTTTTATTTCACCACCATAAAACCCTTGAGCACAACAGCAAATAAGCAGACGGACCAAAAGTTATTTATGATTCTAGGGGGAAAAATAACCCAGAGGCATGCTCCAGACATAAATAGCTCACTGCAGGAAAGAGTTCACAGATGAGAAGGCAGCGCGTGTGAGCGATGTCAGTTAGGCAAAGCAAGTTTACTTAGTGTAAAAGAAATGTTTATTCTGATTTATCAGGATGATCAGGGTGCTTTGGGTTTTGATTTTTTCGTTGTTGTTGTCTTCCTTTCTTTTTTCTTCTTTTTTTATACACACACAATAAGTTAGCACACGTTTATTTGAAACAAGCAACCAAAAAGCAATGAAAACATATTGATGGTTTCCACTCCCCGGGCCGAAGTATCATGAAGCATATGAAAAGCTTTCACAGTTTGTGTAGATGATTATTAAGCACCTGCTTGTTGCAAGAGAACATCAGAGATTTTTTTTTAGTTACTCACCAAGGCCTTTTGTCCCAGAGCTAGCTTCCTTTGGGAGTTCATATGAACATTTCTAACCTTAATATGGAGGAAAGAATAGTATTCCATTCATGGATGCCTCAAATTCTAGTCATTTAATTCAAGTGAAAGAGGTTTGATTGCATATTAAATTGTTATTCTGTCTCCTTATGCTGCCATATGAATAGCAATTTTTTTCTTTCACTTTTGACATTTGGGATGAAAAGCCATATGTATCATAAATATCAGATGTAAGTCATTAAAAACTACCTTCCTGGGACTTTTACATCTTTTAAAAGGTGAATTACTTACCTTATGTACAGAATAAATAATGCTCAGGAAAGAGCAAGTATTTTTCCATGCATTCTCAGGGGACCTTTTTACTCCCCTTTGTTTGATTAGCTAGGGCCCCATTGCCAGGTCAGAGCAAGGGCTGGGGTGATGGTTGAGTGAGAGGAAGAGAAACCCAGCAGCGGATCAAGTTTTCCAGGAGCCAACATGCTAAATAAATCAGAATGTAGAAGCATCAAGCCACAGTTGACTCAAAAAAGACAAAAGCCAGCTACCACCTTAAACTGTTGGCACAGCTGCAGGATACTGGCTGCCCCAAAGCAGAAAGATGGTGGGGAAACATTCCTCCTCATCAATTTCTGTAACGTAGCCAATCTACTTAGGCAGGTGGAGGACAGTAATAGGGACCTGTTCCTTGTCATTATGAGATGGGGGATAAGAAGAGTTCAACAGTGAGCCAAACACATTTTGGTATAGTTATTTTTTTGTTTTGTTTTCTTTCTTTTTTAAAAAACAGTAAGCATGAAAGGTAGAAAGAATACCCTTTTTTCAACATACAGATGTTTTCTGCATGCAAGTCATGCTTTAGGCAGTACAGTACTTAAAAATTGGCCAACTAAACCATAACCAAATTCTTCTGTGGATGGACTAGCCCCAGGCTGGTGTATACATATTTACTATATTTACTTAAAAAAAATTACATCAAATAGAATAGGGGTGGAAGGGAGAAGGAAAAATGTCACAGCTGTACCATCTCTGAAAAGGTGTTTTTATGGTGAATGTTTTGGGTTTAGATTTTGGATCCCCTGTCCCCTCGAGCATGATAGTTTTGGAGATTTGCTTGCTGTGTGAATTGACAAGCACTTTTACTGACAAAATGGTGAGGCTCAGTCAGAACCTCCAACCCTTGCACCAAAGACAGGCTCAGTGCAGTATTTAAACCCGTAATGGGCTGGGGAATAATTGTATATTAAAAAGCCCTTTGAGTGAAAGAATTTTTTCAAATTATTTTTTATCCCTATATATATATTGATTTATATATTACAAATAACTATCTCTTAATATATAACTATATATATATAACTATATATATATATAACTATATATACATATCCCCTAGTTTTGGATCATGAAGAGCTCTGTATGCATTCTCTGCAAAGGAGGTTATAAAGTTACGCCCTCAGATCATTTATAACTATAAGAATGTGCCAGTTAAAGTGCTCAACAGGAAATATGACAGTTTAAAAGCATTGTAAAACTCACATAGCTTACTTCTCTCTCTAAAGTGCAACAAGGATGAATAGAATGGGCCAAGGTATGACAATTAATGGTTCTGCATGACCTAGCCACTGCTGGGGGTTTTCTTCTATAACGTTGTCCTTGTGAAAACTTTTGTGAAATTAAAAAAAAAAAGGAGTTACAAATTTTATTCTGTTATTGGTTTGTTTATTTTTATTTATATTGTTTTGTTTGTGGTTTTATTTCTTTTGTTTTGCTGTTTCCCCCTCCCCTCTCCCTCTCCTTCTCTTCCTTCCTCCACTTTATAAACTGCTCAGCGCAATGAGGCTGTGCTGCTGCTACTGCTAGATTCCTTAGAGTTTGTTTTGATGTTCCTGGGTTTGGGGTTGGGTAATTTGGGGGGGAACTTCTCTCCATCTGGCTTGCCTTTAAATCTGCACGTGGCCTCCCTGCCCACCTTGGTACATTGCTCCAAGCCCAAAAGCATTTCCCCATCAAGAAACCCAGCTTCCTTCACTGCCCCCCATTACCGCCACCCCAACCCAGTCCCCCCATCAGTCTGTTCACATCTCTGTGTTTATCTTGGCGAGACTCACTAAATCAAGTGATAATGCCGGTTGTTAAACTTTTCTGGAAAACATTGCAGCTATTTCATTTGGCAAACCTGCTTCTCTGTTAATATTTTATCCTCCTTTTATTTAAACCAGGAGGGTGATTAATGGCAAAAGCATTGGTCTCTAGGTTTGATTGGTACAAGCCAAAGTCGCAACTGTTCAGCTGGATGTATCCACTCAATAGCCTGTGCCCGGGTATCTGGGGGCTGATGATTCGGTCTCTGTATCACCCAAGTCTCTCCTGCACCTGCCTTTCAGACATTTGTTAAATACCAACTAGAAACTGGGCAGATAGAGAGAAGTAAATCCAAAATGTGTTTTATATACAATCTCTGAGCAGCTCTGATGAGACGATATTGTGATGGGAATGGAATGGGAACAGACTATGACATGAGATGAAATATGGGGGCTTTTCCTGGACTTTGGGCACACAATCAAGACCCACTGGCAGATAATTGAGAATTGACCATATTTGGGTAATGACATATTTGATGATGGAAAAGGTATTACTTCTATTTAATTGGCCGAAACTACCATTACACTTTCCTTAACAGACGGAAGAGTCTCCTTCACTTTTTTCCATTTGCCCCAACCTTCCCCTTCCTCTTTCAGGACAACATCTGCTCACTTAGGAAGGAGGCATAAAAGCTTCTCGTATTGTCTCTCCCCCACCCTCTCTCCACCAAAAAAAAAAAAAAAAAGCAAGTAGGAGTTTCTTGAAAATACAGAGTATGCATTTAAAAAGAACAGCTAGGAACTCAGCTCTCTGCGCCATTCTGGAAGAGAAGCAATTTGTAAGCCCTTCAGTCTGATTTGCTTTGGACTTTAGAAGGGATGAGCGTCAAGTAAGTTGGTAGACCAGGAGGCCCAGTGAAGCCTTCTCGGCTTCAACACTCAGATGATTATGGAATCATCCACACCCATAACAACTGCTTCCTGAAGCCAGTTCAAATGGATGAGCAAGCTGGACCCTTATACAGATGATTCAATTTCTACCACAATTGGAAGAGGTTTTGAATTCTGTTCTGAATATGAAAGGTTATGACTCAGAACTTGGCTCACAATAGGTGCTCAATAAATATTTGAAATAGTTGACCTTAAACATTTTTATACCTTAAGTTATTTTATAAATTATCCTTGTCCTCTTGGCTTATCTTTAAAAAAAAACAATGAATGTCTCTAGGTGCTTCATGATGCTGGTGTGCAGGTGGCACCTTCTTGAGCTGGGTACATAGCTTCTGAGAAAAGGGACAGCCCTGTATGCTCCATGAGTAGAGAGACTGACTGTGCCTCTGGGCAGCATTGTCAGGATCCCAGATGACCAGAAAACCTTTTGACTGGCTCTTCTTCAGCATGGGAAAAGCCTAAAGGTGCCTGCCTCCCAATAGAGACAATTAAATCAACCTGCCAGGTTCCTATAGCAACAGGCTTCTTGAAGGAGAAACAGTGCAGAAATGCCAGGGCCTATGGAAGTTCAAGACAGGCTGAAAATCAATTTCTCAATCAGCTTCTTTCAGCCATCCCTGCTTTGTCATAATATGATAAAGAAGTGGCTGTGGGCAGCTGTCACTAAACTGGCTGACTGTCTCCCACACAGAGACTGCACATTCGTTGCCACCTTTGGAGGTGACCCCTGCCTCCTGAAAGGGAGGAGTGAACGGTCTGCCCACAGGGTGTTGGCTGGACCGAGGGTCACAGAGGACGGCCACAGAGAAGGGCCAGGAGGGGGCAGTTTGCACTGCTCAGCAAATGGCAGCATCAGACTTTCAGTTAAAAGAGACAAATCGAGTCATGGTGGACAATTGCAAAGAATTGAGACAGTTTTCATAAACAAAAACTGCTCTGTCTCTGGTGCAAATGATTTTCATCTCTGTGAAATAGCCATACTTTGCCCACAGGGAAGAGAGGAGGCAGTGTGCATGGGTGGGTTGCTGGGGCATCGGGTCTGCTGGGCAGAGAAGAGTGCCAGACTGCCTAGCAGAAATGGGAGGTGTGCTGCCACGCAGCATTACCCTCGATGGGTGGAGCTCCTTGTTAGTCCTCCCTGTTCTCAACCGTTATCTCTCTCCAAAGTGGAATCTTATCCTTCCAAGCCTTTTCTCTCTAAACCTCAGCTTGTGGTGCAGCAAGAAGAGGGCCAATTATTCCAAATGCCTTCACTGTATCACCGTGTCCTCTCTTCTGTGCTCTTCTCTGGGGATTCTTTATGTAAAAGGCTAAATCCCACAGCACTGACAACCCACAGACACTGCAAAGAAGCTCAATTTTCACAGAGCAGCCTATTTCTTTCTTTGTTTCTGGGGTCCCAGGCAGCTAAGTCAGACCAGGTCTGGGGCTCTCCCATGCCATAGCCCACCCCTCCGGGATCCTGGCTGACCTTTAGCTGTATGGCCGGAGGACGTCCTCACCCCTTCTCTGAACCCTGCTATCTCAGTGACGACACTGGCAATTGAAGGCACAGATGGCTCTCGGGTGGGGTAGGGTGCCTGTCGAGTGAGAGCCAATATTAGAGACACAGAGGTTCCATGGAAGGGTAGCAGCTCTGGACTCCCCAGATATAACACCAGGTTACCCCCTCCTCTCCTTCACCTTCTAAATAACAACTACCAACTAAATCCTCTCCTGTCACCTCTACTGTCACAATCCACATTCTTCAGGTCAGCACCCCAACTTATACACCCCAGTTCTCTACCCACAGCTCCTCTGCTGAAGGGTTTCATTTGTAATCACACATAAAAGTATCACCCATCTTTAAATCATCCTTTAGTACTGATAGTACTCATACTAATGCCAATCTTAAACCAAAAGCTAACACCTTAGCAATTACCCCAGACCAGACACTCTTCTAAGCACTTTCCATATATTAACTCATTCAGTCCTCACAACAACCCCAGATGTAGCTGCTGTTGGCATCTCCATTTGAAAAATGCAGAATCCAAGGGACACTAAAGTGTATTCAATTAGCCGCAGTGATATAATGCTAATGCCTGATAACATTATTAATAATACTAATAATCTTAATTCACATTTACTTACCATGTATCTGGACCCATGCTAAGTGCTTCAGGGGCACTAGCTCCATTTATCTAAACAACAATATTAGGAAGGTCGTGTCATCAGCCCTGTTACAGAGGAGAAGTGAAGCTAAGATAAATTAAGCAATTACTTGCTCAGAGCCATGCAACCAGTATGGGAGAGAGGCAGGTGCACTTGACTTTAACCTGCTACCCCAGGCCATCTCTTCTACCGACACCTCATTGCTTGCCCATGCTGGACAGGTCATGACATAGCTCATCTTAATAAATGAAGTCTCCCAGTGGCATTTGCAGATATTTTACCACCATCTCTCTGCAATTATTTTCCAGATTTTAACTTGTTCAACTAGCCAGCTTGCCGCAGACTGTGAAATGCCACTTCTTCCCTAACTCCACTACCTGTCCTGTGACAGCAGTTCCTGGCAGGTCACATATTATACTCAGAACAGTGACATCATGCAGCTCATCCTCGAGAAGTTTATTCACAAATGGGGCTATTTTTTCCTGGCAGTGAGGAAGCCCTCACAGCCACATCGACTGTCCTCCTCGTCTTAGGCATGGAAATAAAGCTCCTGGAAATCTTCCTGACACGTGGGGTGAAGCAGGGAGTGGGACAAACTCAGATTTGGATTGATCCTAAAGCACTTTGGCACTCATTTGAATTCCTTCTCTGAGTCCTCTTCTTCGTGGCCAATTCTGTGGTCACCCATTGGTGCTGTTTCTTCTTTGGAAGTTGAAATTCAGCAAGCCAAATGGTCATTGCTGTAGCTGCACCTCCATTGAAGCCCAATGACAGGTCATCTTTAACATGTGCATTCCTCTGAAGGCTCTTTGGGAGAATTTCTTTATAAAATACCTTTGCCGGGCCAGCCCGGTGGCGCACTGCTACAGTGCGCTGCTTAGGAGAGCGGCGGCGCTCCTGCCGAGGGTTCGGATCCAACATACAGACCGGTTCCCGCTCACTGGCTGAGCGAGGTGCGGGTGCAACACTGAGGGTTGCGATCCTGTTGCCGGTCCCGGTCCGGTACGGGCGCGACACTGAGGGTTGCGATCCATTGCCGCACACGAAAAAAGACAAAAAAAGGAAAAAAAAATACCTTTGCCACAAGGCATTTTAGTAAAATGCCTAGAATATTTGTATATTTTTATTTCCTCTACATCCCATCTAAACAAGTCTCCAACAAGACATTCATTTTTATCTTACGCAGCACCTGAATTAATCAACTCTTTCTCAGGCATAATAAAACCTCATCTCCTCACCAGGACCTGCTTAACACAACGTCTTCCTTGTGTTGAAGCTCTGTGGCCAAAATGCAGAGGCTACATTGCTTAGAATTTTTTTTTTTATGGCAAAAAATTTAAAAGGAAAGAGAAGCTTAAGTGGGAAAATAATGCTCTTTCCCACAGACAGCAGAAAGAAATTGATACTTTCTCCTCTGTGAAAGGTCAAGATGCCAACTTTGAATTGAACTGTAAAGACTAAATTCTGAACAATTATTCTCTGCAGCAGCTGTAAAAATTTCAGCAAATTACAGCTGTCTTAGGTCTTTCACCCAACAGACCTACTTGTTTCCGTCAGCAGAGTTCACTCTCTCAACATGGCATGTCCCACCTAGCACTAAATCCCTTTGCAAAATCAGTCTGCATAGCAGCATGGCCAAAGCCAAGGGCAGCTCAGGCAGACAGAGCATGAACACCAGGCTCAAGTCCTCAGAAAATCATCTTTAACCATATACTATCTGAAAAAGTCGTAGTTTAAAATTGTTTCAGTGGCCTGGCGATGCTTTTGGAACATGATAACCATCGCACTTTACTCCTCTCTGAAAGGTTAGTTTAATCGTAGATCACAAAAAATTGGTTTCCACAAATGCATAATGGTTCGTCTATGTCACACTTGAACTAAATGGTTTTTTAAATGGAGCTGAAATTATTTTGATGTGTACACAATCCCAGATTTCTATACAACCTTTTCTAACCAGCCCATCAGGAGCCTTGCCTCTAAAGCCTCATTAATAATTCAGATGTGCTGATGACTTTAAAAGATCTATGGAATTGAAGCTTAGGAAAAAAAAAAAAACTCTGCTTGACAAAAAGATAAATGAATGTAGAAAGAAGCTGTAGGAGTCTGGCAAGCTGTAGATCATCTCAGAACAGATTGTAACTTTATCATTCTGTCAGGGGGAATAATTTAAAGCACTTAATCAGTTAGCTTCACTGTGAGGATATAGCATTATGAATTCCTATCACCCAATCTGTTCAATTCAAAGTGAACTTAATTATAATAGGTGGGACAGCCAAAGCAGGGGCAGGGTGGGGAACGATGTCATAGGCAGCAAGTTTCCTGAGGGGTAAACTGAGCTCCTGAACAAAGGCTGGTGAAACTTTTACCAGGCCCATCCCAGCTCCAGCCACAGCCTTCAGCAGCAGCGAGGGCTGATGGCACTTGAAGCAGTCCAAGTGTGGATGGGCCAAGGAGAAAGAAGAATAATGGTCATTAGCTGATCATAGATGCTTAATTTATAAATCTTTAGCCAGACACACACACACACACACGCACACGCACACACACAGCCCTCAAGCCAGGTGAGCAAATTTCATTAACATGTCAGTCTAGGACAACCGACAAGGCAGCTATGAACTGTTCTAGTAGGCAGAAAACCAAGCTGCAGAATCCATTGTCTCCACAGCTGACGGTGTGTTGAAAGCTTTCACTCTTCTCTTTCCCTAAGCCACTAAAATGAAGTGTATGAATCCCAGTGAGAGTGTCCTATTCACTCAGTCCTTTCCTTCCATAAGCATGGACGATTTCCCAGGAAATTCCAGTCCTAGAAAGAGACGGGGCTGAGGGCTGAGTGTTGTAAATAGCACCTCACCGCTGGGAGGGCGCCAGGGCATTGTCGTTCTCACGCCAGCCCCCAACACACAGCTCAGCACTCTCTCCCAGCCATCTCTGCATTTAGGGTGGAATGAAATGCCAAGACCTCTTCTCGGTCCCTGTCAACAGCTTGGATTATTACAGTTGAGATATTGCCACCGGGAACTCTCTTTACTCATTATACCAACACCGAGTTTTCTTTCTTGAAACAAAAGCCATCTCAAAATCTTCCTTAAAACACAGGTTACTATTCTGATTTTCAAACTCATTGGCCAGCAAATTCTCCGGGTTGATTTAAGACCCCCAAAGCTGGCTGCAAAAGAAACAGAAGAGGGGTATAGTTGAGCTATGTCTGTAAGTATGCTTATTACAAGCAAAGCCAGTAAAGGCTGGGAGGAGGCAATCCCGCATAAAGTTCTAGATCGCTGGCTCTATAGCAGGGATGAAGTCCTTCAGTGTTTCACTCACATCAGTGGGTGCACGAATCTCTCCCCGGGCACGTGTCTGTACCCAGTATCTGACAGAAGCATCATCTCCTCCGCACCAAAGCTTTTCAGGCCGATAAAGTGACCCCAGAGAATGTTGCCAGAGTTCATCTCCCAACCTCTCCCTCTTCTCTGAGGTCCACCCCTGGTGCCTCCAAGTCCTAGTGGCACGTTCTGTTGATTGCTTGCTGCAGGGGGCAGAGGTATGTTCCCAGTCTGGGGTCCTCCCTACACTGCACTGTCTCTCTTAGCAGTTACTCACTGTCAGCTTCCATTGATGACCTTTTGCATTTTTCTATGAACTTTCCAGAGGCTTTACCCTGGGACTAATTAAGCTTCTCGTTTCTCCTCCTTGTCTTCTATCCGTTTTGCCCTTTAGCAGAAAAGAAATGGTTTACAGATGAACCGGATAATGCCTATCCCAGAAACATTCAGATCAAGCCCATGACTACCCACATGGCTAACCAGATCAACCAGTATAAATCCACAAGCAGCTTGATCCCACCAATCAGAGAAGTTGAAGATGAATGTTGACTCCCAGGAGACCAGAACTATTTTTTTAAAGCCTGACAAACTTCATAAATGGTGACGTGACTTTTTTTCCTCTTACATGCTGAATCACTGGTGGAAATGTTAGGATAAGGAAGAATTGCAAGAGAATAAAATAGACAGATCTTTCTCTTTGTCTGCCTTGAATATTGCTTCCATGTATTTTGGAAAAGAAAATGATTTCATTTATAAATGAACATACTAAAATTGTCATGTATAGCCTCTAGCATTTGAAATTATTTTTATTTATTAGAAAGAAAATATATTTTTTTCTTTTCTTTTTCATTGTCAAATATCTTCCCTGTATCTGAACAATGCAAAATCAAAATGTATAAGTGGCCAGACTCCTTAATGCATATTTCCCTTCTTTCTTTCTTTTTCTTTGAGGAGAATGATGGTCACTGCCACAATTAATTGTAATTAAGGGAAATGAATTATTAAAACGATTTTTAAATGGCCAATGACGTACACATGTATTTTAGTAAGTCCACAAAAGAAGACAAAAGGGGGCGGGTGAATGCCTGCTCTGCTCCAGGATAGGTGTGTATTTTGATCTGCATTGACACCAGCTCTTAATAAGTGGAAACGTTTATTTTCACAGTTGAAAGTCATATTTTTGTAGTTTTAGTTTTCATTCTGCATTTCTCATCCCTTTGTTCATATATTTGCAGGAAACACCTTCTTGCAGCTTTTCTACAATTGTCAGATAAGGTTTACCTGGTCCACTCATGATACCAAGAGAGTTGTGGGCACACCTGGGACGTGGAAGTTGAGAAGCAGATGCACACAAGACATTGCTCCATTCATTGTCCTGATGGTGGGGACTCCTAACATGCTGCTGTGCTTCTCGTATCATATTTCCAAACCACCCGAGCAAGTGAATCCAACTTTGGGAGGCTCTGGAGGACTTTCTCCCCCCTCCCCAAGTCTTTTAGCCTGAAAGTTTGTAAACACCAATGAACAGTTGTACTTAACAAGAGGATAGGAGAGCACGTTCATTCTTCTCACTGAGTTTTTGTTTTAAAACCCAGACAATTTCCATGATCAAGGAGACAATGTATGCCCAGATTTTAATTTACAGGCTTTCCTTTATTTAGTTGTTGTGACAAAACACACAAACTTGCTACAACAATTTAAAAAATAATAATGACAAAAGGAAAGCAATGAATGCGAATGTGCTTAATATAGACTGTTAGAAAAGCCTCTGAAAATTACCAGCCATGAAGTCAAATGCATTGGCCACTTCAAACTGTGGTCAAAAGATGTTTCTAGCCATCAGATGCAATTGCAATATCTCAGAGCCCTCCTGTCACTTGCGTGCTCAGTGTACAGTCGCCCTAGCAACTGTTCTGTTCCAAATGACTTAGCAAGTCTTTCAACTTCAAAATTATCAATCATCGATACAATCATTGGGGTCTCTGGAGAAGCATGTATGTGATAGTGATTTTTATTTTCTTAAAAATGTAAACTGTGGACACTTAAAAGAACCAAACTAACCAAAAGTATCTTCCAAAGTCCCGTGATATCTATTCCATTAACTTTTTAGGCCATAACTCTGTGGTACCTAATTATGGTAGTGCAAATCAGATCAGAGCAAAGCAACGCGATCACCACGAGAACACATGCCCACTAAGTACTCCAATTCCCAGTGTAGGCAGAACGAGCTTCCACCTCTGTCCACTCCCTGCAGAGCCAGTGTAGCCGTGCTCCCACCTCGTAGGCATTGTCCTGCAGTGACTTGTCGGACTGTGGTTACTCTGTCGTCACATTTTGTAGAATTAGTTCTATAAAAGTATTGTGAATATAATGTATGTCCAATTGGATTGTTTTAAAAACTACTTATAATTAATCACTAGTCTACTCAGCAGACTAAAATGGCTACAACAGTCTATATTCAGGCTTATAAACATTTCTTGGTTTCCAACAGAAGTCAAATGTGTTTGTGGGGAGAATCCTTTGCTAGGATTTTGACAACTTCCTCAAAACTAAGCCTTCTTTTACATAATGATTTTTGCATTGGGGTCACCTTAGTACATTCATGTCAATCCACGCTCTTTCCTTCATGAACCGTAGAGGGCTCTTCCTCACTCTTATTCCTGATGGTTCCCCTGAATTTGTCATAGCGATTTGGTCTCCTCTGGCAGGCAATGGTGGCCACCATACGATCTTTCATTAGAGGAACATAGGGCACTGTGCCGCATGCCCCCTACCCTCCCTTCCTTCTGTCTCCCCATTCCAAGTCAGTCTGGAAGCAGAAGTACAAACTCCATCCCCATCTCAAGTCCATTTATGAGTAGAGACTTGAACTTAAAACTTTAAAAAAATAATAATAATTGCTAAGATGGGTTCCTTACAGCAAAGGACTCCTTTGTTCATAGAGCACCCCTCCCCCACCAAAAAAATCCAATTGGTAGAAATTGATTTTCTTCTAAGGTAGAGCAACAAGCTCATGCTGTTTTGTGAATTGTTCTGGGTCAGAAAACAAAGTCAGGCATTTTTCTAGGAGGTATACAAAATGACCGGTTAGTGGCCCCTTTGACAAAAACTGGTGCCTGGTAGGTTGAGAATGAAATGAAGTCAGAAATAAGGCTCAAAAGATGTCTGGAGGATTTGAGGGAATGCAGGAGCTTCCTGATTTGGTCCTATTCGTTGGGCTCTTGGGCCCTGGGTCATCCATCTCTACCGTGACAGACTGTTTTTCTGTCTACATCCTCCTTAGACCAATGATGGTCTTCTTTGGTACAGTCCATGTTATGAGGCTCTGATCTCCCATTCCAGTTTAGGGCTCCAGAAAAGCTATTTTTCCAACCTAACAAGTCTTGGGTGCTTTGGGAATCAAAGACTTCCACAGACTTTTTGCAAAGCAGAAAGTACCTACTTAAAAATGCATCATCACCATCAACACCTTTCCCGTTGGGAAAACTTTTATTTTTGTCTAAGTAATTTTATATTTTAGAATATCACTTCAGATCGACATAAAAGACCTTAAATAAAAGTGATTTTGACTAAGACATGTTGGAGAACACTCAGAAGTCCTTTCCTTCCAAGGGTTGTAGCATCTTATGATACATTTTGTAAAAAGATTTGAGGAAGGGCCGGCCCCGTGACTCACTCGGGAGAGTGTAGTGCTGGTAGTGCAAAGGCCACGGGTTCAGATCCTATATAGGGATGGCCGGTGCGCTCAATGGCTGAGCATGGTGCAGACCACACCATGCTGAGTGTTGCGATCCCCTTACCGGTCAGGGAAAAAAAAAAAAAAAAAAAGATTTGATGAAGACTTTAAATAAACAGGAAATTAGAACTGTTTGGTTAGGGTTGAAAAGAGGGAAAGTGCGAAAGCATAAGAAATTTGGGGATACTTTTGGACTGAAAAGAGAAAGAGCCCAAGTTTCCTACCTAGGGCTTAAGATAGGGATTCAAGAGCCACATCTGCAAACAACTAGTTATGAACTTTAAGAATGTTATTTAAACTCTCTGAGTCTCTTACCTCATTTGTAAAGGAGAGTAATTCATTGAGATGACTCTAAGGTCCCTTTCAGATCTGGGAGGACATGATCTGAGTCAGGAGTCAGAACATGAGAGTGGCTGCATCTCCCTGGACAGGCCCTTGGAGGCAATCTTGTCCAGGTCTGGAATAGTGGTCCTTCCTGCTGCATCACACAGGGGATACTCCTGACCTTAAGGTAGAGTTTCTACTTTCTGCTCTAGACATAGAGTAATGTTTCTTCCTGTGCTTTTCCCTTTGGATGGTTCTTAGGTTCAAGATGAGAATTTATAAATTCAAATGCACCTAAACCAGATTTGATCAAATCTTTCAACCAGTTTCTAGGACTTTCTTCTCGATCTAATTTCTACCTTCCCTTTTCCTTGGTTCAAGGCCCAGCTTCAGCTAATCCCTTCATCTCTAACCCATGTCTTCAATTCTCAGTATGTAGTTAGAGGCTCAAGACTCCCACGTTCCTGATATTTTTCCCCTCTATGTCCCCCAGCCCTGGATCTGGACTTCAGGAAGGAACCAGTCTCACTGCTCACTTCATTGTCTGTCCTGTGTTTATTTGATTTTTGTTGCTGTTTTTGTTAACACACTATCTCTTTGCTGCTTATATTTATAAATGTAATTTTGATATATCACTTTCCATTGTCAAAGAGAACCTCATTGAAGGAAGGAAGGGTGAAATGGAAGAAGAGAGGTAGGAAGGGAGAGAAAAAAAAGAATATCAAACTGATTGACTGGCATGTGAGCCACCTCGGTATGTAGGAGACGCAGCAGATCCTGTCAACTTGGACATTAATTTCCAATGCAGAATCTATCCCTGTAATCAGTTCGTTTTCTATTCTGTTCCTATTTGCTGCTTTTGGAATGGCGGTAAAATCACCAACGTGGCCCTTGAAAGGGGCTTTACTAACTGGGGCTTAATTGACCCCCTTTAAAAAGCAAAAGGAGCTGAGAATCCGTCTACAACCTCCCTGGTAAATCACCTTCATGCCCCTCTCCTTCTCACCCCATGTGCCCAAAGGGCGTTTATTTTTTCTATCCTGTAGAGATGATTTAACACTTAAATCCCATGATCATTTGATGAGGTTATGAAGCCCTTTGGATTTACTTATACGAGTAGTAATGAGAAATGATTCCAGCTGGTTCGTACTAGTGTGGCCAGAGAGGTTGTTTAAGGAGAGCCTGTTCTGACTGGTTGTTGCTCACACAGTACTAGTCGTTAATAATTTCAGTATTTCAATACAAATAAGACCATGCAGAGAATATTTTAAATTTTATTTCTTCAGAGACTATAGACCCTAATTTGCCATTCCTATGGTAAGCTTGCTTAAAACACACGCAGAAAGGAGCTTGTGTACCCAAAGGCAGCAGTGACTTTGTGCCTAGAACAGTTGGAAGCTCAATGATATCACAGCCTCATGTGGTTAGATTGGAAAATGAATGCTGAGTTAGACTGTCTGTTACCAGGCCTTCCTCTTTTGCCATATTTTTTAGCACCAAAATGAGCCTGAGACTCTTTATCTAAAGACAAATCAAACTCAGGACATACATCAAGGAGCTGGGAAGAAAGAACAAAAAGAACAAGAAATAAGCAGCATTTTAGAATACCATGAGCCAGGGGAAGCATGTGGTGCTGAGAACTAGTGCTTTGGGCTGCAAGGAAGAAGAGGTTGCACTGAACTATGTGGGTCAGGAATATAATGCTTGATGCAGAGGAATATAGAATATATATTATATTATAATATACTGCTTGATGGTCTTTGGAGGCATCTCAATGGGTGACTAGACTGGAGAGATGTGGAATTTGAGGGTTTTCCAGGGAGAGGGGGCTTAATAGGCCACGATGCATTGGTAGGAATGTGATTTCGATAGATAGATTTTGTCCATGATAAGCTTGTGTAGGGGAGCTGAGGAAAATTGAGATGAGATTCCATGGAAGGGGCTGGAAAGCAGATAGTCTGA